TTTGATACTAATACCAATATATATATATTTCGAAATTTTTAATGATATATTTAAATTTATATTTTATTGAAAAATAAAAATATTATCGCATTTTCAAAACCATTAAAAACCGTATTATATCTACATGAATAAATAATAAAATCAAACATTAAAATTAAGATATATCTCGCTATATTATGCGAGCACCCTTTTAATCATATTTAAAAACTTAAAAAAAATAACTTAACCCTTAAATTTGTGTTGTTTTACAAACAACTATACTCTAAAAGGTAAGTTCTCCGTTACCCATGTTGGATGTTTTTCTAGACCTCATAAAGACGGTCGTTTAAATAACATGTTTTAATTTGCTTTTCAAAACTTCTAAATCAGATTACTTTTTCTATATCGATAATCTTCTGCTTGAAAATATGACTTATATCAGTATCGTTAAAATTCATTTACTACCAATTTTTATTTTATATTTAAAATTCACATATGTTTTTCTTTTTTCGATTAAATCATAAAATACTATCAATTTTTACTATGGGCCAAGACCGATCTGTCGTAACAAAATAATTTATTCAATGACGTATTACGATGATTCCATATTTCTTAATAAAAAAGGAATATCATAATTAAAATACGTAAAGATTTGACCTGAGAATACGACAAAACAAATCAACATAAATAACAATTTTTAAAATTTTCCAAAGTGTTTTAAGAATTGAATACTTTTTGCTATAATTAATGGAAATTTATATAAAGCATATTGGAATATTACTTAAGAAATACTCTAAAATATTTTATTAAACAAAATTATTTTACTAATAATGGAATTTAGGCTCGTTTGGGTAAAATGGGCCACAAAAGACCTTTTAATTTTTAAATTTTGCAGTCATCTATATTATGTTATAAAATATTTGACAAAAATTTTTAAAAATCATTTTTTTATGTATGAAGTACTGTTTATTGATGCATATTATTTAAAATTCAAGATTATAAGTGATTTTGCGTAAGTACAACTTGTTAAAGGTTTATTTTTAAATTCGTGTAACTAACTGCTTTATACATAAAATAGAGATTTATCTCGCTGCATTGCGCGATAACTCTTCTAGTTATATTATAAACCATTTGACAAAAAATTCTTAAAAATCATTTTTTATGCATGCAGTACTACATATTGATGCATATTACTTAAAATTTAAGATTATAAATAAATTATGCCTAAGTACAACTTATTAAAGCTACATGTTTGAATTCGTATAACTAACTGCGGATAAACATAACCAAATAAAGAATAAACATCACATTTTAAAATTTAAAAAAATTAAAATATAATTAGGATAATTATCGAGTTATAACAAAATAATTAATTATTATTTTTATAAAAAAT